TTGGGTTAAAGTTAAGGTTAGGATTATGGTTAAGGTTAGGGTTAGGGTTAAGGTTAGGGTTAGGGTTAAGGTTTGGGTTATGGTTAAGGTTAAGGTTAGGGTTAAGGTTAAGGTTTGGGTTATGGTTAAGGTTAAGGTTAGGATTAGGGTTAAGGTTAGGATTAAAGTTAAGGTTAGGATTAGGGTTAAAATTAGGATTAGGGTGAAAGTTAGGGTTAGGGTTAAGGTTAGGATTAGGGTTAAGGTTAGGATTAGGGTTAAGGGTAAGGTTAGGGTTAAGGTTAAGGTTTGGGTTACGGTTAAGGTTAGGGTTAAGGTCAACATTAGGATTAAGGTTTGGGTTAGGGTGATGGTTAGGGTTAGGGTTAATCTTAGGATTAGGGTTAAAGTTAGGATTAGGGTTAAGGTTAGGATTAAGGATAAGGTTAGGGTTAGGGTTAAGGTTAGGATTAGGGTTAAGGTTAGGGTTAAGGTTAGGGTTAGGGTTAAGGTTAGGGTTAGGGTTAAGATTTGGCTCAAACCAGCAAGTGGTCCATGGGTTGCCATCTTGGAGCCTCGTGCCCTGAAAGAGGTGAAGCTGTGCCTATAGTTTTCTCTATCATCATTTTACAAGGACATGGTGATGTCCTGCTTGCTGCTCCCTTTCTTCTACAGTATCCCACAGAGTGGCTATTTCGGCGCACAGCCAATCACAAAAAAAATCGCCTGCTTTTACTGACCATTTTGCGTCGTCAATAAGAAGAGAACCGTTTTCCCCTTGAAGCTCCCAAGGCCAGCATTCTTGCTCGTCCTGTCTACAGAATGTTTTTTTCTGCTGCTTGTGGAGTGTCTCTTCTTGTGAGAAATTTGAAAGTGAAAAGATAGGATCAAGATTTCACAGAATCATGGAGAGTCGTTGAGTTTTTATAGCACAGCACACCAGGTCAGAACTTACACAGTTAATAGCACGGTCCTAAGGAGTGTTGTTGAACAGAGGGACCAAGGAGTGCAGGTTCATAGTTCCTTAAAAGTGGCATTGCAGGTAGACAGGGCGGTGAAGAAGGTGTTTGGCATGCTTGCCTTCTTTGGTCAGAGCATTGAGTACAGGATTGGGACGTCATGTTACAGCTGTACAGGACATTGATGAGACCACTTTTAGAATGCTGTGTACAAATCTAGTCACCCTACTATAGGAAGGATGTTATTAAAGTAGAAAGGGCACAGAAAAGAGTTACAAAGATGTTGTCAGTACTGGAGCGTTTGAGTTATAAGGAGAAGCTGGATAGGCTGAGACTATGTTCCCTGGAGTGCTGAAGGCTGATGTGTTTATAAGGTCAATTATTAAGGTAATAATATTAAGTGTAATAACTGAGCATTTGGAAAGTGGTAACAAGATCAGCCCAGATCAGCATGGATTCTCTAAAGGGAAATCATGCCTGACAAATCTTCTGGGGTTTTTTGAGGATGTGACCAGTTACTCGGACAAAGGTGAATCAGTAGATAAAAACCGAAAGAATTGCGGATGCTGTAAATCAGGAACAAAAACAGAAGTTGCTGGAAAAGCTCAGCAGGTCTGACAGCATCTGTGAAGAAAAAAAAATCAGAGTTAACATTGCGGGTCCGGTGACCCTTCCTCAGAACCTCTGTTCTTCACAGAAGCTGTCAGACCTGCTGAGATTTTCCAGCAACTTCTGTTTTTGAATCAGTAAATGTTGTGTATCTGGACTTTCAAAAGGCTTTTCACAAGGTTCTACATAAGAGATTAGTAAGGAAAATTAAAGCTCATGGTATCGGAGATAATGTATTGACATGGATAGAGAACTGGTTGGCAGACAGGAAGCAGAGAGTTGGTCCTTTTCAGAGTGGCAGGAAGTGACGAGTGGGGTACCAGCTGGGATTTCAGCTGTTCACAATATACATTAAAGATTTGAATGAAGAAATTGAATGCAATATTCCAAATTTGCAGATGACACCAATCTGCGCAGCAGTGTGTGCTGTTGGGAGGATGCTAAGAGGCTGCAGGGTGACTTGGATAGACTGGCTGAGTGGGAAAACTCTTGGTAAATGAAGTATAATGAGGATAAATGTGAGGTTACCCACTTTGGTCCCAAAAACAGGAAGGCAGATTATTATCTGAATGGTGGCAGTTTAGGAAAAGGTGAGGTGCAATGAAACCTGGGTGTCATGGTAGAACAGTCGCTGAAGATTGGCATGCAGGTGCAGCAGGGCAGTGAGGAAAGCTAATGGCATGCTGATGCAAGATTCAATCCCAAGATTCAAAGTTCTCTGTCATCTTCCAAGCTCAACACAGGGGCCTCATTCAGGCAGTGAGGAAAGCTAATGACATACTGGCCTTCATAGCAAGAGGACTTAAGTTGTTGGAGTAAGGATATCTTGCTGCAGTTATACAGGGCCTTGGTGAGGTCACATCTTGAGTATTGTTTGCAGTTTTGGTCTCCTAGTCTGAGGAAGGACATTCTTGCTATTGAAGGAGTCCAGCAGAGATTCACCAGACTGATTCCTGGGATGGCAGGACTGACATATGAAGAAAGACTAGATTGACTGGACTTGTATTTGCTGGAATTTAGAAGAATGAGGGAGGATCTCATAGAAACATATAAAATCCTGGTGGGACTGGAAAGGCTAGGTGCAGGAAGAAAGTTCCTGATGTTGGGGAAGTCCAGAACTAGGGGTCACAGTCTAAGACTAAGGGGTAAGCCATTCAGGACTGAGATGAGGAAGAATTTCCTCACTCAGCGAGTTGTGAACCTGTAGAATTCTCTCCCTCAGGAAGCTGTTGGGGCCAAATCGTTACACATATTCAAGAGGGAGCTTAGCGCCTAAAGGGATCAAGGGTTATGGAGAGAAAGCAGAAGCGGGATACTGAGATTGCACGATCAGCCATGATCGTATTGAATGGTGATGCAGGCTCGAAGGGCCGAATGGCCTACTCCTGCTCCTATTTTCTGTTTCTACAAAATCATGAGAAGCATAGATAAGGTAAATAGCCAAGGTTTTGTTTCCAAGGGTAGGGGAGAGCAAAACTAGAAGATATAGATCTAAGGAGAGAGGAGAGAGACTTAAAAGGGACCCGAGGGACAACTTGTTCACACAGAGGGTGGGGCATGTATGGGATGAGCTGCCAGAGGAGGTGGTACAGGCTGGTATAATTATAACATTTAAAAGACATTTGGACAGGTAATGGATAGGAGACGTTTAGACGGATATAGGCTAAACACAGACAAATGGGACTATTCAGTTTAGGAAACCTGGTTGGCATGGCAGAATTGGACCAAAGGGTCTGTTTCTGTGCTGTGTGATTGTATAATTCTCTATAACAATTGGCTGTAGTAAAGTAGGGCATTGTGGGATTGGATGCCAGGTAACCAATGGCAAAAGGGTGAGGGCAAGAATTCCTGTGATGAACCTTCAGGAACTCTAAATGGAGATTGGGGCAGGAGGGAGACAGGAGAAGAAAGAGTTTAGTTTCAGGTTTATTTGGAATAGATTTGAAATCATTGTAAAACTCAATGTTGGCTTCTGTCTCAAGGAAAGACATGAACCTATTTGTAGCAAAGTTTCCAACAAGAAAAAAAGAGTCTTCAATTCGTACAAGCAAAGAGCTGCTGGGACAGGCATTTCATCAGTGAGAGGCCCATCAGTTGCCAAGGTAGGACTCATCTCTGAGCACTGGGGAACAGTTGGGGTGCTGGCTCTGTGCGTGTCCTCACACGGTTTCTTAATAGACTGAAGTGAAATTGTTCAGGTTCACTGGCTGAAAAATTGAGAAGATTGAATCAATACAGTTGTGGTTAGAAATAAAATAAACAGAGAACCATGGGTCATCCACCCTGGGACATCAGACACCAGGTTTATTACTAACCCCCTGTGAAGGTTGAGACAAAGAAATTATACTGGATTGTGGGTATAGATTTCTTTCAGTCTTATTTTGTTTGAATATCTAAAGGGATTTGGAAGGTGGATTTAAACATTGTGTATAAATTTGAAGTAGAATACTCATAAAATCATAGAGCTGTACAGCAGGGAAACAGACCCTTCAGTCCAATTTGTCCATGTCGAACAGATATCCTAAATTAATCTAGTATATATGCCAGCATTTGGCCAATATCCCTCTAAACCCTCCCTATTCATATTTGATAGTTTATGATAGTGTTCATTCTGATGTAATTTAGAATTTGTTCTCACAATAGATGTTCATAAATAACTCTAAATAGGTGACAGTCTCACACTGAGCTCCTTATGAGCCCATCTTCAAATAACAACACCCTTGGATTGTAACTGCTGATATTGGTAAACTTAAACAGACAGCGGCTTTTGTTGAAAAGTATTCTACCCAGAGATAATTTTTCTGGTTTGAAAACTTCTGGGGGAAAGAACATTTCATTGCAAAACCTGGCCTAGAACTGCTAAAGGTGACAAAGTTTCTAGGCTTTCTCTTCGTTGAGATCTTAAAGCTGTTGACAAGTTTGACTGGGGTGATTTACGGTGCCTGGAGGTGGAGGATAGAGGTGAGAGAACTGATTACACTCATACTGTCCAATTCTGTGAATGTACTCGAGGTTGCTTTGTGATATTATATCTGGGAGTATCCCGGGTGGCGGTGACTGGAAATAGTTTTAAACTGGCAAATGACTCCAGACTGTGTGGGTCTTCCTTAGATGTCTCTACCTGTGTCACACTGGAAACAACAGCATGAAGATTTTATCAACACCATCAGGTCAGCTAGGCTCGCCACAGATGCTGTTAAAAAGGGCCTGCCTCTTCCCCCTCCCCCACCTGCCAGCATCAACCCAGGTAAAACCTTGCTTCAGTTGAGTTGCTTTCACTGGTACATCTGTCTGTCTGTTCATCTCAACACAATCTGACTTATTCGCTCAAGGTGATGTGCAAGTCTTGTGAAAACCCTTTCCTCTGCTCATCACATTCACTTCCCAAAAGCCTTTGCTCTTGAGTCACCCGAAGGCCTTACCTAGGCCTTTCCAATTTTCTGCACTTTCATTTCCTGGGAATAATCTCTATCAAATGGCCTCCAGGAAGCCATTGGGTAATATCCACCCTCGAGTCTACCTTTCACGGCGTGGAACTGAAACATGTTCTGCAGCGTGAAAAAAACAAAGGGATTTCAGGCAACATTTGGAAGGAGGGTCACTGAATCCGAGACATTATTAACTCTCGGTTTCTCTCTGCACAGACGCGGCCGGACCTGCTGAATTTCTCCGGCAATTTCTGTCTTTTTAATTTCAAGTTTCAGTTAGACCTCGCTGACAATTGTCTCCCTCCTCTGTCTCTGTCGGGTTTAACAGGGGGAATTAATCAGGCTGCAGCTCTGTTACCTTCACTTCCACTGACAGATGCGCCAGGGAGAAGAATAGGCCATTCAGCCCCCTTGAGCCTGCTTGTCCATTCGGTAAGATTGTGGATTGTGAGCTCAGCTTCACTTTGTCACCAAGCTGGGAGGTGATTTTTGAGACAGCTTTGCTGAGCTGGCATGAAAGAGGAGTTGAGGCGTGGGGTAGATTGGCCATGAATAGGGTTGCAGGCTTGAGGGGCTGAATGGCCTAGTCGTGCTCCTTTTTTCTAATGTCAGAAGGAAATGACACCACTGTGACATGAATGTAACAGTAAGGCCGTTTCTGCAATGAGCCCTGACCAGGGAATGATTGTGTGTGTCTAACCCCCAGATTACATCGAGTGCCCGTACTGTAACAGGCGTTTCAACGAAACAGCTGCCGAGCGACACATCAACTTCTGCAAGACTAACGTTAACCGCAAAGTTGTGGCCAGGCAGGCCCCGGTGCCGTCCTCCATCCAGCCGAGAGCTCCCCCTCCTCCAGCACAAGTTCAGCTGGCCTCCAAGCAGCTCACAAGTCCAGTGAGAGCTCCAGCTGCACCGTCTACCTCCCACCAGCCCCCGCGAGGCCCTCCAGTTCAACCAGCACATCCAGCACGGACAGCACAGGCCGTATATTCACACCCCACAACATATTCATCACCTTCGGTAAGGACATCCACCCGAATGGTCACTAGGTCTAATACCGGTCACTCCTCGGCATCTCCAATTTTCTGCCCATTCATTTTTAGCTAATAATCTCTATCATATTGCAACAGGCATTTCAACTCAGCCTGGTACAGTCACTCCCGCTGGTACGGTCACTCTGTCCAATACAGTGACTCTGTCCAAAATGGTCACTCTGTCCAATATGGTCACTCCGTCCAATGTGGTCACTCCAGCTGGTATGGTCTCTCTGTCCAATATGGTGACTCTGTCCAAAATGGTCACTCCACCTGGTATGGTCACTCTGTCCAATACGGTGACTCTTCCAAAATGGTCACTCGGTCCAATATGGTCACTCCACCCAGTACGGACATTCTGTCCAATACGGTCATTCCACCCGGTATGGTCACTCTACCTGCTACGTTCACTCTGTCCAATATGGTCACTGTCCAAAATGGTCACTCCAGCTGTTATGATAACTCTGTCCAAAATGGTCACTCCATCCATACGGTCACCCTACCCAATATGTTCACTCTGTCCAGTATGGTCTCTCCACACAGTGGGGTCACTCTACTTGATGCAGTAAGTCTGTCCAATATGATCACTCCACCCGGTGCAGTCAGTCCACCCAATACGGCCATTCCACCCAGTATGGTTACTCCATTCATTTCAGTCCCTCCACACAGTACGGTCACTCTGTCCAGTATGGTCACTCCACCCAACACTGTCACTTTATATAATGTGGTCACTCTGTCTGATGTGGTCATTCTGTCCAGTATGGTCACTCTGTCCAGTACAGTTGGTTACAGTCCTTCAGGACTTTGTTCTGAACTTTCAACAGTGGGCTTTCTTGAAGCCAACCATTCCAGGTTCAAAGGTGAGAGATTGCTCCTAATGTATCTTGAGGAATAACTGAATGTGGGTTCACAGATGTGACCGTCAGAGCTGACCTTGCATTGTTGCAGTCAATGTTTGTGATTGTGGATCTCTTACTGATTTTTCTTTGTCTCCCCCTTGTCCCTGAGTCAAAGGCAGCAGGTCCTCCATCAAGAGGCAAACTGACTGCAGCTGCTCAGGCTGTAATGGGAGTCAGAGCAGGTAAGGACTGTATGCACTGTTGCAGTAATGTCAGACAGCAAGTCACAACTCAGAGCTTAGAAAGCTGAGGGGTGGAATGATAGAGGTCTGTAAAAGAGTTGACATTATCTCAGTCACTGAGCATGTTCAAGACTGAAATTGATAAATTTCATTTTTTCAAATTTATTCTATTGTGGCACATGAGCATTGCTGGCATTTATTGTCCATCCCTAGTTGCCCCTTGAGAAGGTGGTGGTGAGCTGCCTTCTTGAACCGCTGTAGTCCATGTGCTGTAGGTTGCCCCACAATACCCTTAGGGATGGAATTCCAGGATTTTGACCCAGTTACAACAAAGAAATGGTGATATATTTCCAAGTCGGGATGGTGAATGGTTTGGACAGGAATTTGCAGGAGGTCATCCCATGTATCTGCTGCCCTTGTCCCTCTAAATGGTTTGGAAGGTGCTGCCTAAGGATGTTTAGTGAATTTCTGCAGTGCATTTTGTAGGTAGTACAGATTGCTGCTACTAAGTGTCAGTGCTGGAGGGAGTGGATGTTTGTGAATGTGGTGCCGATCAATTAGGCTGCTGTGTCCTGGATAGTGTCAAGCTTTTTGAGTGTTGCAGCTGCACTCATCCATGAAAGTGGGGAGTATTCCATCACACTCCTGACTTGTGCCTTGTAGATGGTGGACAGGCTTTGGGATTGAGGCGGTGAGTTACTTGTTGCAATATTCATAGCCTCAGAGTTCAGTTTCTGCCAAAGGTAACCCCGTCCTCCAGGATGTTGACAGTGGGGGGATTGTGATGGTAACACCATTGAATGTCATGGGATGGTGGTTAGATTGTCTTTTATTGGTGATGGTCATAGCCTGGCATTTGTGTGGCACAAATGTCACTTGCCACTTGTCAGCCCAAGCCTTGATATTGTCCAGAGATAGTGGGAACTGCAGATGCCGGAGAATCTGAGATAACAAGGTGTAGAGCTCAATGAACACAGCAGGCCAAGCAGCATCAGAGGAGCAGGAAAGCTGACGTTTAGGGCCTAGGCCCTTCTTCAGAAAATGAAGATTCAGAAAATTTTCTGAAGACGGGTCTAGGCCTTAAACGTCAGCTTTCCTGCTCCTCTGATGCTGCTTGATCTGCTGTGTTCATCTAGCCCTACACCTTGATATTGTCCAGATCTTGTTACATTTCAACATGGACTACTTCCATTACTGAGAAGTCACAAATGGTGCTGAATATTGTGCAATCATTAGTGAATATCTCCACTTCTGACCTTATGATGGAGAGAAGGACATTGACAGCTGAAGATCGGTGAGCCGAGGACACTATCCTGAGGAATTCCTAATTCCCATTGATTCCAGTTTTGTCAGGGCTCCTAAATGCCAAACTCGGTCAAATGTCAAGGGCTGTCACTCTCATCTCACCTCTAGAATTCAGCTCTTTTGTCCGTGTTTGAACCAAGGCTGTAATGAGGTCAGGAGCTGAGTGGCCCTGGCGGAACCCAAACTGGGCGTCACTGAGCAGGTTATTGCTGAGCAGGTGCTGCTTGAAAGCACTGTTGATGACAGCTTCCATCACTTTACTGATGATTGAGAGTAGACTGATGGGGCGGTAATTGGCTCGGTTGGATTTGTCCTGCTTTTTGTGTAGGATAGATACCAGTGTTGTGGCTGTATTGTAAGAGCTTGGCTAAGGGAATGGAAAGTTCTGGAGCACAAGTCTTCAGTACTATTGCCAGAATGTTGTCAGGGCCCGTAGCCTTTGCAGTATCCAGTGCCTCCAACCGTTTCTTGATATTATGTGGAGTGAATGGAATTAGCTGAATCTGTGATGCTGGGGACCACTGGAGGAGGCCGAGATGGATCATCCCTTCAGCACTTCTGGTTGAAGATTGTTGCAGATGCTTACCTTATCTTTTGCACTAATGTGCTAAATATGAAAGATATCTAAGGATGTGGGGAAACGGTGTTGAGGTAGAAGATCAGCCATGATCTCATTGAATGATGCAGTAGACGCAATGGGCCAAATGGCTTGTACCCTTGACAACAAGGTGCAGGGCTGGATGAACACAGCAGGCCAAGCAGCATCATAGGAGCAGAGAGGCTGACGTTTCGGGCCTAGACCCTTCATCAGAAAAGGGGGAGGGGAAGGGGGTTTTGAAATAAATAGGGAGAGAGTGGGTGGCTCCATCCCCGCCTCTTCGACCTGTTTGTTTCCTCTCCACCTATCCTCTCCTCTATCCCTCTTCTATCCGCCTCCCACTCTCTCCCTATTTATTTCAAAACCCCCTTCCCCTCCCCCTTTTCTGATGAAGGGTCTAGGCCCGAAACATCAGCCTCTCTGCTCCTATGATGCTGCTTGGCCTGCTGTGTTCATCCAGCCCTGCACCTTGTTGTCTCGGATTCTCCAGCATCTGCAGTTCCTACTATCTCTGGCTTGTACCCTTGCTTATTTTCCATGTTCCTGGGTAAGAGATGCCTGGATGAGGATTTTTATAGTTCAGGAGCTGAGGTGAAGGTGGGCATATGATGAAGGAGGAAACTGTGGTGCTTGTTCATAGAATAGGATTCTGCAGAAATGTTTTCCCAGAAAGTGGTCAGAGGTGGAATTCACCAGCCACAGAAAATAGGAGCAGTAGTAGGCCATTAGCCCTTCGAGCCTGTTCCATCATTTATTATGACGATCATCCAACTCAGAATCCTGTTCCCACTTTCTCCCCATGCCCTTTGAACCCTTTACACCTAAAGACATCAAACTAAGAATATCTGACTACTTCTTGAAACCAACTGCTTCCTGTGGCAGAGACTCCCACAAGGTCCCCACTCTCTGGGTGAAGACATTTCTCCTCATCTCAGTCCCAAATGGCCTACCCTGTATCCTTAGACTGTGTCCCCTGGTTCTGAACTCCCCAGTCAGCAGAAACAGCCTTCCTGCATTTACCCTGTCTAGTTCTGTTAGAATTTTATAGATTTCTACAAGAGTCCCCCTCATTCTTGTAAACTCCAGTGAATATGATCCTAACCAATCCAGTCTCTCTTCATACTTCAGTCCCAGGAATTAAGCCAGTGGTATCAATGTATTCCAGGGTAAATTGGATAAACACATGAAGAAGAATAGAAGGATGTGCAAGTTGGGTGAGATGAAGTCAGGTGGGAGGATATTAGCCTGACTTTGTGTCTGTTGGGTTGAATAGTTTGTTTCTCTGTTCTGAGTTTGTAATTCTGTGACTTTAATCGTAAATGTATTGTTTATATTTAATGTATTTTTGTACATTTTACATATTGAAGATTACAATGATCCATCCACCAGTCGGCCATCAGCCTACGTGAGAGGGCCACCTGATACAAAAGGACCACCTTCCTCACAGCAGTGAGTAAACGCAATGGGCCAATCCACCAAGTGCTGCCCTTGGGGAAGGATATCTGCAAATCCCTGGGTTGTTATGTCCAGCATACTGAGAGGCGGGACAGATGTTAAGATGTAGGAGCAGAAGTAGGCCATTCAGCCCATTAAGACTGCTCCACAATTCAACTAGGGGCGGCACAGTGGCTCAGTGGTTAGCACAGCTGCCTCACAGCGCCAGGTTCCCCGCTTCAATTCCACCTTCAGCCTACTGTCTGTGTGGAGGTTGCATGTTCTCCCTCCATCTGTGTGACTTTCTGCTGGGTGCTCTGGTTTCCTCCTACAGTCCAAAGATATGCAAGTTAGTGGATTGGCCATGCTAAATTGCCCATAGTGTTCAGGGATGTGTAGGTTAGGTGCATTGGCAATGGGAAATGCAGGGTTACAGGGATAGAGTACAGGGGTGGGTCTGGGTGGGATGCTCTTCGGAGGAACGGTATGGACTTGTTGGGCTGAATGGCCTATTCCTACACTGTGGGGATTGTATAAAAAAAATACGGCTGATCTGATAATGCTAAACTACGCTTACCTGCCTTTCCACATAACCCTTATTTCTTAAAAATCTATGTCAGCCTTCAGTATACTTATTGACCGAGCATAAACAGCCCTCTGTAAAGCATTCCACAGTTTCACTACCCTCTGAGAGAAAAACTTCTGTCTCATCTGCCTTGAATGTGTGACACCATTATTTGATGGTGGGGCAGTGAGAATACCAGTAATTTCACTGAAGTTGTCATCCAGAGGGCTAGGTCAACGTTCTAGCGATATGGGTGGTGGAATGTAAATTCAACTCATAAACTCTGGGATTGAAAGCTAGTCTCTGTGATCGTGACTATGACATTGTTGTTAAAAGCCCATCTGGTTCACTAATGCCCCTTAGAGAGGAGAATTACCTTATCTGGTCTGGCCTATTGTCACTCCAGACGAACAGCAATGTGGCTGACTCTTAACAGCCAATGGCTGCGCAAGAGACTCAACTCAACAAATGCTGGGTCTTGCCAGCAATCCCCGTGTCCCATGAAAAGTGCAAAGGAGGGAGCTCCCACTGAAAGAGGTCAGCATTGAATGTGTGCTGGAGGGAACTGGCCAACGAATTTCAATGTAATTACTGTAAGTTCTAAGGAAAGGTCACTTGACCTGAAACGTTAACTCTGATTTCTCTCCACTGACGCTGCCAGACCTGCTGAGCTTTTCCAACAATTTCTGTTTTTGTTTCTGATTTACAGCACCCGCAGTTCTTTTGGTTTTTACTGAAAATGTTGAGGTTTCATGTTTAGCGTGGAGGAACAAGGAAACCACTAAATGCACTACCTCAGCTTAATAAGGACAATAAAATAAACCAAACACTGAGGTTTGTTTTTGGAGGCTAGAGTGAAAAGTAAAGCAGTCATGTTAATCCTACATTGAACCTTGGTTCGACCAGACAAGGAAGATTGCAGGCTAGTATAAAGTGGATGAATCTACTGGTGAGAATATGTAATGATAAAAATACTGGAAATGTGCAGCTGTATAAAGAATCTTGTTTCTCTTGAAAACACAAGGCTGAAGGGGTGGCCTTAGGGAGGTTTCATCTTCTGGGGAAGAGTGTAGTTTGAGACTATCATTACACAATAGACACCACAAAAGCACTTTCAAAACACCTTCCTAAGCCAGTGAGTGTGGAACTCACCCCCAAAGGAAGTGGGTGGAATAACTAGCACTGATGAATCTTAGAGAAAGCTCAATACTGCAAGGAAAGAGGGAAGAAAGTTAGTCCGAGCAATGACCAGCAGCAACAGAGCAAAGGAGAGCGAACCTAGGGGTGAACAAAGACAGCAGGATAAATACCTGAGGAGCATGGTCAGTCAGAGTGAACCTGGGGGTGAACAATGGAAGCTCATTATTCCACATGGCAACTTTCTTGCCCTTCCCCTGTATTCTTTACTGATTCTTGGTCAGTACACAAGGACTCTGTGGCAAGGAGTTCCAAAGACTCATAACCCTCTGAGAGAAGAAATTCCTTCCCATCTTAATCTTAAATTGGTGTCCCTTTGTTCTGAGACAACATCGCCTGGTCCTAGACTTTCCCATGATGGGAAACATCCTCTCATCATTTATTCTGTCAAGCCTCTTAAGAATCCCACATGTTTCAATGGGATCACCTCTCATTCTTCTAAACTCCAGTGAGTAAAGTCCCAACCCAACCAATGTGGATCAGCTTAACCCCATTGGAACATCAGAGAGCAATAAGACAAAGTCCTGGTCAGATGGCAAACTGTTTCTTTCTCTGATCTGTTTTTGCAGGTCTCGATACAGTCGGAAGTAACGGCAGAGTACGGAGATTGGGAAAAGCTGGGAGAAGAAGTTCCAAACTGCAGCAGGACCAATGTCTGAGTGAATCCAGCTGCACCTGATCCTCCTTGTGTCTCCTCAGCACCAACTGGTCTCTCCCCACAGTCAAAAAGCAGTAAAGGTCAACTCAGTACCGTCTGGTTCATTTAGTGGGCACGTGGGCTGGAGGGGAAGCAGGGCAGGCAGTGGATGGGTGAGTGCTGTCAGTACGATAACAGAACACTGATTTTAAACCCTAATCATCCAATGCTTCACTAAACAACATCCAGAGTCAGTGTTTAATTAAAGTCATAAGAACATAAGAACTAGGAGCAGGAGTAGGCTGTCCGGCCCTTCGAGCCTGCTCCACCATTCAATAAGATCACGGCTGATCTTTTCATGGACTCAGATCCACTTACCCGTGTTCTCACCATATCCCTTAATTCCTTTATTGTTCAAAAAAATATCTACCTTATCTTTAAAAATGTTTACTGAAGTAGCGTCAACTACTTCACTGGGCAAGGAGTTCCATAGATGAACAACCCTCTGGGTGAAGAAGTTCCTTCTCAATTCAGTCCTAAATCTGCTCCCTCTAATCTTGTCGATCTGTGTTTGCGACAATAATAAGGATAGTGTGCATGTGTGGGGAGAGACAGGGTGGGCGGGTGAGAGAGTGCACATGGGCATAGAACGCAGTATATGCAAGGCGGCCAATGTGCAGGGGTGTGTGTGCGTGTGTATGTGCGCGTGTATATAAAAATGTGTGTATATGTGTGGGAGACAGGTGAGTGCGTGTATGTGAGAGACAGGGTTATGTGTGTGTGAGAGAAGGTTGCGTGTGCGTCTGTCTATGAGGGTAAGGTGTGTGATGAGTGAAAGTGAGTTTTGTGTGTATGTGTGAGGGTCAGATATGTGAGTGAGAGTGTGCTGTGTGTGCAGGAGAGAGGGGTGAGTGTGTGTCAGTGAAAGAGAGTGAAGTATCATCGACTGTCACAGATGAGGTGCCGGAAGACTGGAGGTTGGCTAACGTGGTGCCATTACTTAAGAAAGGTGGGACGGAAAAGCCAGGGAACTACAGACCGGTGAGCCTGGTATTGGTGGTGGGCAAGTTGTTGGAGGGGATACTGAGGGACAGGATTTACATGTATTTGGAAAGGCAAGGACTGACTAAGGATAGTCAACATGGCTTTGTGCGTGGGAAACCATGTCTCACTAACTTGAGTTTTTAGAAGAAGTGACAAAGAAGATTGATGAAGGCAGAGCAGTGGACATTGGCTACATGGACTTCAGCAAGGCATTTGACAAAGTTCCACATGGTAGCCTGGTTAGCAAGGTGCGTTTTCAGACTGGGGGCCTGTGACTGTAAGCGCAAGGATCAGTGCTGGGTCCACAGCTTCTCGTCATTTAAATGATTTGTATGTGAAAATAGGAGGAATGGTTAGGAAGTTTGCAGATGATACCAAAATTAGTGGTACAGTGGACAGTGAAGGTTCTCTCAGAATACAACGGGACCTTGATCAACTGGGGTGATGGACCAAGGAGTGGCAGGTGGAGTTTAATGTAGATAAATGTGAGGTGCTACATTTTGTAAAGGCAAATCAGGGCAGGTCTTATACACTTAATGGTCAGGTCCTGGGAAATTTTGCCAAGAAAGAAGACCCTGGAGTGTAGGCTCATAGTTCTTTGAAAGTGGAGTCACAGATAGACAAGATAGTGAAGAAGGCGTTTGGTACGCTTGCCTTTATTGGTCAGTGCATCGAGTACAGGAGTTGGGAGGTCATGTTGCGACTGTACAGGACATTGGTTAGGCCACTTTTGCAATACTGTGTTCAGTTTTGGCCTCCCTGCTATAGAAAAGATGTTGTTAAACTTGAAAAGGTTCAGAAAAGATTACAAAGTTGCCAGGGTTGGAGGGTTTGAGCTATACGGAGAGGCTGAATAGGCTGGGGCTATTTTCCCTGGAGCATTGGAAGTTGAGGGGTAACCTTATAGAGGTTTATAACAGCACGAGGGACATAGAAGGGCTGAATAGCCAAGACCTTTCTCCTAGGATAGGGGGGTCCAAAACTAAAGGGTATAGGTTTAAGGTGAGAGGGGAAAGATTTAAAAGGAGCAACTTTTTCAAGTAGAGGATGGTGTGTGTATGGAATGAGCTGCCAGCGGAGATGGTGGAGGCTGGTACAATGATAATATTTAAAAGATATCCAAATGGGTATACCAATAGGAAGGGATTAGAGGGATGTGGGCTGAATGCTGGCAAATATGGCTAGACTAATTTAGGATGAGTTGGACCGAAGGGTCTGTTTTTGTGCTGTACGGCTCTATGACTCTATGAGGTGTATGGGTGAGAGTGGGGTGTGAGACAGAGTACGGTATGTGTGTGTATGACTTAGAAAGATTGGTGTATGTGCCCATGAGTGAGAGAGAGTGGTGTGTGTGGGTAAGAGAGATTATGGAATGTGCGTGTGAGTAAGAAAGTGGTGAACGTGCAAGAGTGGGACGTGTGTTTGAGTGAGCAAGAGTGGGGTGTACATGTGTGTATGAGAGAGAGGGGCATGTGTGTGAGTGAAAGAGTGGGTTGTGTGTTTTATGTGTGAGTGAGATAGTGGGGTGTGTCTCTGTGAGTGAGAGTATGTGTGTGACTGTGTATGTGTGAGAGACAGGAGTTTATGTGTGAGTGTGAGTGAGTGAAAGAGACTGGGGGATGTATGTGTGAGTGAGTGAGAGAGAGAGAGTGTGTTTGTGTGTATGTGTGTGTGTGTGTGAGAGTGAGAGAGGGTTTGTGTGAATGTGTATGAGCGAGTGAGACAGCAGGGTGTGTATATGAATGAGTGAGAGAGTGGTGTGTGTGTGTTTGTGTGTGAATGAGTGAGAGAGGGTTTGTGTGAATATGTGTGTGAGCGAGTGAGACAGCAGGGTGTGTCTGAGTGAGTGAGAGGGTGGGGTGTGTGTGTGTGAGAGTGTGAGAGGGTTTGTGTGAATGTGTATGAGCGAGCGAGACAGCAGGGTGTGTCTGAGTGAGTGAGTGAGAGAGTGGGTTGTGTGAGTGAGTGAGTGAGAGAGTGGGGTGTGTGTGAGTGAGTGAG